CAGTTTATATCTCACTGAAATCTTAATGTAGAATAATGAAAAAACACTGGCTTGTCTTTTCAAAATTACGTTAAAAAAAAAATACATAAAAAAAATCAAACCATGTCACCTTTGTTTTACCTGCATCGGGGGCGTGTAGTACCGCTGTCACCCGAAGATCGCTATTCACATTCTAAATAGCCGCATTAGCGCGTATTCAAATCGCATTCGCATGGTAATTTGGTGAACAACGCAACGGTGAAACGCTTGCTACATATTCAATGAAAGGAGCCAGAAATAGTGACATGAGTTACAGTAGCTTTTTCTTATTTATTTATCCAACTGAATGTTGCAACTACACCATTTAGTCATCTTCATGTAGCCAAGTCAGATATTATGGTCATCAGATATCTGGAATCAAAACAAACTGCCACCAAAATGTGTGTGTGTGTTATATTTTATATAATATTATGTTTGTCATTCATGCCAAGTCAATCATAGAAAGTGGATAGAATTTTTGGAGTGGCACGGTTGTTACTACAATAGCAGCATATTAGTGTAACCCCATGAGAGCCTTTTAAATTTTTTTCTTCTCATTATTTCCCTTGGCAGGGATGACCAAAAGAGCAGCGTGGAGGTGGACCACCCCGTCGGCCAGCTGACAAAGTTCTGCCATGAGTGTGGGACCAGGTACCCGGTGGAGAGCGCCAGGTTCTGCTGTGAGTGTGGGGTCAGGAGGATGTGCATGTAGGTAGCGAGGCCCAAGACGACCACAGCTGTTATACACTAACAAAACACGACCACCCATTACATGCGAGAATGACATACACTTAGGTCCATTTCATTTCTCACTGATGTGTTTTTCAAGTGCAATATATTTAGACTTTGTTACTCGGAAGAGAACAGCCCCTAAGTATACCATTGTTTAAGGATGTATATTCTTCTAAGCTACCTTTATTTGTTACGCAATTCTATTGATGTGGAAATGGCTTGGAATTAGTGGAAGGAAGTGTTTCCGTTAGCTCGAAATAGCCCTGTTGCATTTAACCGTGACACGGCAGGATTTTACCGCAATGTTATCATGGTTTCACTGTTTAACAGTGTTGATATTTCTCCCCAAAAAGAGCCCACTGTCCACATGTTCATGGGAATTGTTGTTTTTCTTTTGTTTGAATGAGTATTTTTTTTTAATAAGTTCTACAAACCAAGCTATTTCACCCATTTTGAGAGTTGGTTTTTAAGTTATTGTTTTTTTAATGTAGGGACCTACCAATATTTCTGTGCTCAATTTTATTTAAACGTGTGCACTTTGTACGAAATGCTGTTTTTTTCATAAGTATGTGTAAATAATGGTTTTTGAAATTTCTTGGTCTCACTTTAACAAAATTCTGCAAATTGCAGCACGTCGGAAACCCATAATGGTTTTATTATATATATAATGGGTCTTCTGCTCTGATTTGGATTCACTAAAAATGTGATTTGTCACTCAATCTATGGATATTAACTGATACAGTAGATGTTCACTGAGTAGGAATGAGATGTTTTGGGTTTGTAACCTTAATAAATCTCTAAGTTTCACGTCAAGTATTAAATGTGTATTTATGTAACTCATCTTTTCAGAATAGACTGCATTTTAGGGTGTTCTTAGTATGTTCATGTGTTTAAAGGGTGTAATACCGCTTTACAATATGACACTCTAAAAGAAGTTGTTCACTGTAAATTAAAACTGTATGTCGTCCAATCCCTAAGATGTTTTTTTTCCTAAGCATACCCCAAAAATTGAAACCTCATCTAAATTAAGAAGCTTCTGCTCTTGGCATCATTTCCTTGGTGTTCATCTCCAAAACATTTGCTTTTCAGATGCGTAAATTAAAAAGTCTTCAGCACAGTAAGAACTTTATTGGCTACAGTTTTGCACATTTCAGCTGATACCTCCAGTACATTATTTTGTCCTCACACAGCAGCCATTAACTGTTATGAATGACAGATTCAGAGATTTTGCTATCAAAGAGATAAAAAAGATGAAAGAATTACAGATGATTGTTAAGCTGGTCCTGTTTGCCTGCACATGAAACATGGAAAAAACAGGAAATAATGTATGATTTGAAGTAGGCTAAGGCAGTTACTAATTTCTCATACCAGTTAGACATGCCACAGTTTTTGACAGTGTTTTCAAGGGAGTGGAGCAATGAAAACATCACGATTTACTGTAATACCCTCAAAGGATAATTTGAACACATGGTTTGTTTATGATATAATCAGCAGAATGTTCCTGTCTACAATAAAAGTATGAATTAGTCATTTATTCCTTTCTGGTAAATTAGACAGAAGTCACTTGCCAGGCCTCACCTTGTTGGAATGGATTTAGTTGGATTCTGTTGTTTTGCTAGGAATTACTATAATTTTCCTTCCTTAGAATCCGCTTTAGACTTGTAATATGTCTCTGCAGATCCTAATTCATCATCTTGACTAAAGTATTAGCTTATTATAGTACAAACTCAAAAGTGACCTGAACTGCCTCTCCCTTGGCGGTTAATCACCACCACTAACCTCATTACCAGTCCAACGATCCATAGTTGCCCCTGCTTGTCCCCCTGTCCTATTGCTCAGCCAACCTGATCTATGTACCCGAGTTACATAGTTACTGAAGCAGACGTTGGGGAAATCAGGAAAGTAAGAGCACCATCCCCCTGTCAGTTTAGGGTTAGGATACAATACTGTGTTTGTAAGGTGCTTAGCTAAAGGCGCCATTATAAGCTGCTCAGAGAGCTAGAAGTACTAAAGATAAACATCTAGAGTCGTGCCGAGTGCCATCACTTAACCCTCTAATGTTTATGCAGATCATGCAAAATGTCCTTCATAGAAACAGCTGTTAATTCACTGACTAAACAAGAACGTACTGTCACATGCAGTCACCTTGACTGTGAGATAAGACCGTTATATGAATTCAACATATACTTTATATATACATTTATATCAAAGTAATGTATACTTGGTAGTGATTCTACAATTGGGTACAATTGACTATGTAGTTTCAAACATGATAAAATATTGTGATACACATTACTGTAGTTGGGAGAATTGTTAGGTCCATTTACAGGCAGGTATTTAAAAACGAAACGAAATCAACACCTGGTTGCAGGTAATAAGCAACAAGGTTTTTTCCTTTTTTATATGCGGAAGGAAACTTGAAAGAGCTGTTCCTCTGAAGACCTCATTCCCTTCGATGCCTAAAAACCGATGAAGCCTTACGCCAGCTGAAGCGTGGCATAACTGGATATGCCCGGATCGCATTACAGGCTACAACCACAAGATGTCATACCTACAACAGTCCAAAGGCCACCTCTGACGCAATTCACCACTGCCCATGACCTGCACCCGTTACCTCTCTCCATGCTGTTAGAAGGTCGAAATCTCTATTGTCGTGTTTCGGTAAGTTAGCCGCATAGGGTAGCAGAGCGCATGTCATGTTTGATGTCTGTGGTTAGGATAATATGATTAGACACACAAAAATGCTGAATCCAGTAGTTGTAGCACGCAGGGGTTTTGCAGAGTCCTGTCACTTGAGCCCGTTTCCTTTGCTCTTCTCTGAAAGCTCCTAGGCAGCAGGAACCCCATCAGCCAAAGAGAGTGGTTTGCCCTTGAATCCACACGCCCCAGCTCAGCGCTCAGCCATTCTTCTCCATCAGCTTGGCGTAGCATGAGCGCGTCGCGTTAATGACACGTTGTGCTCGGCAGAGTCTGCAAAGTTTGGAGGTTCTTTTCTTTGGCAAACGCTGTCCTGGGAGGTGGGCACATTCAGAATGTGTTCCGTTTTCATCCTTAGAAGGAACAGCCGGTGGGTGATTAGCTATGATCTGCAGCATCTCTGTTTTTTTCTCAATTTGATTCTTAATGAAAAGTTCTTACCTTTACGTCACATCCAAGGGAATTGTTTATAAGACTAATAAGTTTCTTTAGATAACAGGTTACTTTCCTATTATTTAGATTTAGTTGGATGGCAGAAATCATTTTATGAATAGAACTTCTTTCCTAAAAGGGGCAAAACACACATGAATGTCGACGTTTGTCGGGAAATAAGTTTAATTCACACATGAATAGCACATCCATCTGTTTTGGAGCCCGTCCCAGGAAGCTTTCAGCCTTAGGCAAGGTTTGCTCTGGGACATCATGGGTACTCATGCATGTGCTTATTCAGTCAATGCAGACAATTCAGAGTCATTGATTCACATAAACAATGAATATCTGGAATGCAGGTGGGGGTAAATGCAGGCCTTGCATAGGCAGAGTCAAATTTAAAGCCACAGGTGTGTCTTTGACGCTGTGCTGCTTAGCTACTCCAATTCACGTGAAAGATAGGAAGCAGCAGACAAACAAAAATGCACAAAAACACATTTTTTTTAACCTACGCTTTTAGAATTGTGATGTTTGTCACTTTAAAAAATCTATCCACAATCTCTACAAGTGAAATTTCATAATCCTGTTTCATTCATTCATTCATTCATTCATTCATTTTCTGCCGCTTATCTGGGGTCTGGTCATGGGTGCAGCAGTCTAAGCTGGGATGCCCAGACCTCCCTCTCACCAGCCAGCTCCTCCGGGGGCATACCAAGGCGTTCCCAGGCCAGCCGAGAGAGATAATCTCTCCAGCGTGTCCTGGGTCCTCCTTTGGGCCTCCTCCTGGATGAACTGACCCAAAACACCTCCCCAGGGAGTCGTCCAGGAGGCATCCTAGGCAGATGCCTGAACCACCTCAACTGGCTCCTTTCGATGCAGAGGAGCAGCGGCTCTCCTTTGGGCCCCTTGTAAATGTCTAACGCCCTCACCCTCTCTAAGGTTAGACCCAGCCACCCTGAGGAGGAAACTCATTTCTGGTGTTTGTAACCGCAATCTCATTCTTTTGGTCACTACCCAAAGCTCGTGACCATAGGTGAGGGTAGGAACGTAGATCAACCAGTAAGTCGAAAGCTTTGCCTTCCAGCTCAGCTCTCTGTTTACCACAATAGAACGCTACACTTTCCGCATAATTGCTGATGCTGTACTGATCCGCCTGTCGATCTTCCGCTCCCTTCTTTCCTCATATGTATATAAGTAATTTCCTACTGTACATTAAAATCATATTTTATACAGTAGTAAATTACTTTACTTACTTTAATATACATATCAAGATAATACAAAACCATTTAAGTTTCAAATTAATTGAAAAGTAAGCATGCCAGGATTTATGAAAAATGCAATGCATATCTGAAGACGATGAAAGGTCTTTTTGTATCTTTTGTTTTAAACATAGGATGTGCACAAATGTTTACTTACATTGTTTTCTTCACACTCATGTACAGTTGTTTGTTTTGTCTTGCAGGTCACGTTCTGTAAATCATTTGCAATTGTATTTTCCTAAGAACAATATAATAAGTATAATTCAGTTGTCATGTGCCAAACCGTAGTTGTTTAATGAAATTATTAATTGAACTGTTAGCTAACATTTTATGGCACGATACAGTACAGACAACTAATTAATCTCTATACATGATTTTTCTGCTTAAATTGTAAATTTCATCTCAAATTATGTAAAATGAATATATGGACATCCATCATACTTACGACTTTTTGAAGAACAGGATAAATAATATTGTTATAATCCTCTTTAACGTACTTCATTGACGTTGTATTTTCACAGGAATAAACAAGAGGCCGCAGAATAAGAGTCAACAAATAAGTCCCCAAAAAAATCTGTTGGAAAGCTTAAATGAGAAATGATACATCATTATTAACCTTTTCCATAATACACATAATTACAGTAAAGTACAAATGGACTGCTGTTGGTAGAATTTTTACCAAAGAACAGTATATTAGGTCTTACAAATACAACTGACAATTCAGCAATAATGCTGTGATTGTTATTTGGAGTGAGTGAGACAAGCTAGCTATTCCAGAGCAACAACTTTGAATGGGCTGGCATTTTATCCTTAAGAAAGCATGCTTTAGTCATTCAGGACATTGCCAGACTTTAGAGGATTACTGTAGCTTTCCATGTTCTCAGGAGATGATTTTATTACAGTGCAGTCCCAGTTCATTTTTCTTGCCCACATGCTTTTCAGAATCTCATTTGGTTTTCTGTGCTGTGATTTGTGCATACATGTATATTTTTCATTACTGATCCTGGAGTATTAGTGGCCAATGAAGAAATGCAAAATCGATGCCCATTCTGTTACCTATTGACCAAGTGGCCACTGATTTAGCAGCTGAATTAACAGCTAAGAATGACAGTACAATTAACTATAAAAATATCAGCCTCAGAGCTAAACTGAATCACCTCATATAGGAAAACAAGACAGAATTATTAACTCATATCTCATTAAAGTATTGAAACAGAAGCCCCCTTAATCTATCTCTTTTGTGTGCCTACTTCGGGTCATTTGGAGACTGTCCCAGAGGCTATGAACACAGGATGGGGAACAACCCAGAATGGGGTCCCAACCCACTGCAGGGCACACTTACAGGCAATTTGGTAACTTCAATTCACCTCCTGCTGTTTTTGGGTGATATGGGGAGAACATGCAAACTCCACACACATGGAGCCACAGCAGAGACTCAAACCTTGGTCACAAAAGGTGTGAGGCACCAGTGCTAACCACTGCACCAACACACCCCAGTCTCCTGAATGTAAGAAAAATGAAATTTTCTAGTTATATATATATATAAAAAAAAAACAACGCCGTATTCACTGCAAAAACGGGCACCATGATAAAAACATTTTAAAGCTCTACACTGAGTAAGTTAGACACGTGTTTAATATAACTTCAGTTCAATATAGCGCCCCCATATGCTTGATTTTGCACTATACAATTTTGCACTATTAAAGCACGTCAGAAAACCTCTCGAAAGAACGAAGAAGGAAACAACTAAGAAGCTGCTAAAATTGACCGGGGGCTTGAATTGCTCATTCAGCTGGGATAGGACTGCAAATGTGTGGTAATAATATAAAACATCTAGTACTGTCATCATCCAAAAGACACTGTGTGCACAGAATCACGATAGCATATACGCCTCTTCCTGATTTTATATAATTTTAATTTTATTTCTTTTACTAAATTCATTATTCATTTGTAGCAGGCAAACTTTCTCTATTCTGTTTTATCCCAAGGCCTGTTATATTCACAGTGCTGGGTAACATTAAAATGACAGTTTTGACAACATTACGTTGTAATTTATGTAAAAATTAATCAGTTACCATCACCATCTCCTACTTCGCCACCAGCACTACTACAATCAACAGTATCCTTCCATACCGCCGTCTCGCTCATTGCGTATGTGTACCTTGGGTTTCCAAATGAGGCCGCATTTCTTGTAAATTCTCTTAAGTTTCCTTATGACTGCAAGGAAATCCAATAGGAAAATCCGGGAATCCCCCTGTGATGTATATAAATAGCCATTTCTGCAGTGCCATTATAGACTCCGCACGCCAACCTGCGCTAGACCGGTTTAAATCCCGCGATCAATGGAAGCGCAAACCCCACCACGGTAGGTCTATAACAACATTATCCATGTTTTAATTTCTCGATTCACATTTTTAAAAATCGCTTTCAATAAATATCTTCACGGGGTGCGTCGGTAAAGGTGCGTCACTATTTTTAACTTCCTCGCTGTAACCCATTTATTCAGCATACTTACCATTTGTCATTTTCAAGTCATGTTTCCTAATTGACTGAACCAGAAACTCCCATTCCCACGCCCACTGGCTAGAGCGATGTCCATTAATGTGTGAATTGTTGTAAGGATTTATTTGTCACAAAACCGTCTTTTCTTGGTTTTTTATTTATTTATTTATTTATTGGACAGTTGTGAGATATTTTTAAAAAATCCAGGTTTTCGCAGTTTGTGCCCAGGAGTCGCTGCCCCAGCGGCTTCTTTGACTTCCGTCACTGAGCGCAGTCGGTTTCACTTTCTCGTCCCGGGATCACATCTGCAACATGTTCCCGTAGCTTGCTGAGAACAACGTCCTTCGACTGGGGAATCTTTTAAATCAAACTTACGAAACATATGCGTTTTACAAAAACTGTGATATCAACGTAAGCGTTTAAGTGTGGCTCCCCAGCGATGGATTCATGCAGCAGAAGTCATTCATCTCAATATCTTTAAAGCTTCCCATTTGCCGTCCATTAAACATGATGTTCCATGTAATCATATCACGAATGTATAAGGGGGTCAATGCGGGTAATTCTAAGTGTCGCAATGATTTCCTAATTTTTCTTAGCTCGGGTCTTGTGAAATGTTAAAATATCTAATTAACGTTAAGCAACAAGTCTTTACTGAACACCGGTGTTAAAATAAATTTAACCGTATCATGTAATATAGTTTGAATGTATGTAAACAGGAGATATACTTATTACCGAAATCGATCGTGGACTATTTCAGTTCCAAGTTATAACTGAAATAGATTTTAAAAAATTAATTTACAAATTAAAAACCTGGGTGTTTTGAGTTTTAAAACATTTAAAACATATTGACTTGTTCGGCCAATATGTGAATCTACCTAAGTGTACCAATTTTTTGTAAGTAGGCTATACCAATGTAATAATGTTTGTAAATTAAAATAATATAGGCCTATGTTACGTGTGTAGAACCCTACATAAGTTATAATTAATAGCATAATAATTATAGGCTAACTATTCGTCTTTAGAGGCTTTATCGATTCATTGATTCATTTAAGTAGGCCTAGGCAAAAAAAGCACATTAACACATGAAGATTTGTATATGACCAAATATATTTGTACAGTTAGTCTACAACACTTAATAGGTATTCAAGGTTTCACACATAATTAAATACGACCTGAAATAAAAGATTGCATTATGTAAACGTTGTAGGACAGTGACTCCTTGTGCAATTATCATCTCCATTTACATATTTATGTCACTTCTATAGACCTACAGTTATATTATGACGTGCGCTGAAATCTATTCATTTTTATCGCATGATGATTTAGAGCTACGTCAAGTCGTTGCTTCAAGTCGCTGCGTCGCGTTGCAGCGAAAACCTCGAACCCCTGGTGTCTGAGGAACCAGGCGGAGCTCGTGGCGCGTGGAAACATGTGAAGATAAGCATCCTGCTGCATGGACGGGAAGTTTTCTTCCCAAAATCTCAGTGAAGCAGTAGTATCTTATTTATTTGTTTGTATATTTGCAAACAATAACAAGAATGTGCAGTTTATGCGTATAATGTACGGAGTAGCGCAAGTGAGTTCATACGGAAACTTCATACGGTGGCTTCCGGCTTAGTTTAATCTGTGAGGTTATGAGTTTCCTAGTGCTAAAGTGAAATCATTCCCTTCAGAGGTGGAGTTTGGAGTCTATCAGCATAGCTGTATGCTTTTCCCAGATGTTTGTTATCTGAATGTGGGCCCCTTTAATCAGAACTTGCGACATTCCATTCTGTGACATTTTCCTCTAACCTTGCATAGATTCTTTTACCATATTTTTTAAATTCTCTCTACAGTATATGGAATGCTATGCTTTTAGCATTAAAAATAACACATTTCCAAAATTCTTGCTCTACTTTCGTTTCAGAGTAATTAATAGATAGCAATTAATAAGAATTAATTAAGAATAACTAGCAATATATTGAAGCGATGCCTAAATTAAAAGAAGGTAAAAATGAAATTATTAACACAAAAGAAGAACGAAACCATAATAAATGGTTACAACAGGCTCGAGAAATTAAAATTCATCATAAGTTTTTTTCCCCTTGTGTACAGTATCAGATTTGGCAACTAAATACTAACTCAGAACCGCCAAACTTTTCCCCAAATATCTGATTTCAGTAGGTCGTTAATCATGCCAGGGTAAGAAAAGTGTGTGATCTGGAAAAAAGTGTCATAGTTACCTTGGTTTGTATGAGGGTTTAGTTTGGCTTGAGGTTCAGTTAACAAATACCTGAATGACTCACTGAGCAAGATTGTTCTTGTCTTTAGGTTAGAAAAAAATATGATTCATTGATATGCTATTAGAAGGAAAAAATTAGTTGTCGATTGAATGCTCAGCATTATTAGTGCCAGCAGTGAAAACACGTTTTAGTGTCGTTTGGGGCAATTATAATATAATCTTTTCAAGTGCGTCATTCTTACTAACTAAAACTAAACTAACTAAACTAAAATACATTAATCTTGATTCTTTTTCATATGTGTCATATATAAAAGAATATTGTGCAACAGCATACTTTAGTTATTAATAATGATTCAATACCTATTTAAAGGCACATTTTAGGACAAATGAAGGTCACCTGACAAAGAAAACAAACAACATCAACTAAGTGACACCAATAAAATCCTGCTTGACAGAGCAGTCAGTCACGTGCTTTCAGGTAACCAGCCTAAAAGGTTTGAAACTGTGTTGTAGTGTCTAGTTGTTGGATACGAGGGGGAGGGGTTTGGGTTCGGTGTGGGAAAAGGCTGTAGTGCCCAGAGTTTGGCGTCTGCGACAACAAGTGAACCTGCTGATGAGGATTGGAGGGGGGGGGGAGGTCAGTGCAGATCCCTGGAAGATCAGTGAGATATCAACATTTTTCAAATCATTTTTCTCGAATCAAAATTAGCTAGAATCACTACTTGGCAGTAGTGTATCTGTGGTGTAAATCACCTCTAAAATATTCTGCAGGTATTAGGATGGAGATTTAGGTTATTTCAGAATGAGTGGAATGTACAGCTGGAATATGTTTAGAGACCACGGCAACATTTTTTTTAAATTTCACTTATTTCTCAGTTTATGGGAATGCATTTGTGTAAAATATATTTGTTTTTTGCAAACTCCAGCCTGGCTCTTTCAAGATATTCATTAATGAAGGACTTCTTCCTTGCTTTATGGGTCTTTAAGGGCTTCAAGGAGTTCTAGCAGTCCTAACTGTCCAAGCAGTGCACTTCACACCTGCACTTAATTTTTCCCATTCCTTTTTTTAAGGTCACTTGATGCCATATCCTGATTTGTGAAGCATTGTTGAATAAGTTGCAGGTTTTCTGTGGCATTAGAAATTCGCCTCCGCCCTCTACCTGGCTGGGTTCTGGTCGTTCCCAGTGTCTCCTGCTTCACCATGTTCCTGTGTATTGTCGTAAAATTTTCGAGCCTGGATGCAGCCTCCCTTGCAATGTAGCTTCTCCCAGCAAAACCAGGATTAAACCAGAAATATAAAGTGCAGATTTTTAAACAATATAGAATGACTTCTTAATTTTTTTCCAGAGCTGTACTTTTTTTCAAAGTACATGTAAAAATGTTCACATCAAATCTAGGTCATATGGAAAAATTGTTGAATATCTTAATAAAATAAATTCTTTATCACAATAAGCAAACAACAGCAGCAGATGTTCCTTGATGTCTTAGGTACAGTAGTGTGTCGTGTTAATTATAACATTAAAAACTGGAGAAAAAATTATGCAATTTAGAAGAAAACATTTAACTTAAATTATGATCATCTACCTATTTTAGACCTGTTTTGATAATAGATCTATTCATTTTAGACCCAGTAAAACGAGTGCTGTATGACTGCAGCCATCAATCCTGCAGAAGTTTTACTGTGGAATTTCCTATTTGTCAGATGGGAATAGAACTGACTAAATTTTCTGTTGAAAACATTCTACCTCAAAAGACTGAATTCTTGGCCTATGAAATCTATATAGCAGATAAATGCTAGTCAACTGTAAAAAATATCGATTTGTTGTAACTGAAAAGTACATTGTTAATATAGACCCCAATTGTAAACTTGCATTGGATACGCAGATATGGAAGGGGGATAATTAGTGCTTAATTAGGTTTAAAATGTTACAATTATGCAAATAGGTGACACAGGCAAACTGTTGCAAGGTTGCAAATTGTTAAAAGGTTGCAAATAGAGGAAAGTCCACTATGCAGGAGAATCACATGCAATAGTGTGAACAAAAATAATCCTAAATCCTGTGGAAAAAAACCAGTAGATTTTGCAGAGTAATAAAAAGGAACAATTTGAAATAAAAGAAAACACACATTCATTAGAAAAAGTAATTAAGATGAAAAGAGGTCACAGGCATTTAGTATTGTTACTAAACAAAACACTACTAATAATATTAATACATACATGCATGCACACATACATACACACACACACACACAGTGCTCGCAGAAATTCTTGGCCTGCTTGTTTAATTCAGTAAAAATATTGCTAATTTATTGGTTTTATAAGAAAATTGCTTTATTCTTTTGTTTACTCTATATACATATTACATTTAGACATAATTAGTACATTAGAAACAATTAGTAGTTTAAAGTAAACTTTCATTTCAAGTAGTACTACCTTGAAACCTGAATTGTAGTTCTAAAAGAGCTGTTCTGAGTTAAAAAGTTCATTGACATGCAGTCAGATTTCAGTGCTTTTTAATGAGTTGCACCTCTGCAATAACATAAAACACCAAATATTTGTGTTTAGTATGACTTTGGGAGCTAATGACTACAATTGGAATTAATAGCAAAATGGCAAGACCAGAACTGAAATAGTCAGTGAAAAAATATGTTATATACATTAAACATTGCTTATCAATAGAATTTTATTATGAAACCAATAAATTTGTAATATTGTTACAGAATTAATCAAGTGTCCCAAGACATTCTTTGAGTATGATATTGTTTATATATAAACAATGAAAATAATCACACTACAGTTATTCTATAATTAAAAATACCTCCCTTTTTAAGTCAGCTTGACCACCACTTCTGATCTGCAATTATTCAGTTTACTTCTCTCTGTGTGATCCGAGTCTGTTTATGAATGTATGTTGAAGTCTTGTTTGCTTTTCACACTGTACCTCTTGGCTGGAGCCCTAGATGTCCAGTTCTGTGTTTTTGTTGCAACACCTTTCCTTCCTGAATAAAAAACGGATATTAGTGGAATATTCTGGTTCTGTTTTTTACTTACTTGCCCCATATATATCAGCAACTCCTGCAGAAGTCCTGTTCTGCTAACGTCAGGTTATCTGAGATGGGTCTTTGCCGTACATTTTTCTCTACGCCGCCTTTCCTGAATGGCCGTTGCCCGTTCATGTTGATCACAAAACAAAGCTTGCTCTGTTCCATGTTGTTTATCACCAGCTGGAATGTTATTTGTTTGTTAGCTTGGTTCACTTGTCGCCATTTTTATTTGTTTGCTCGTTCAAAGTTAGCTGCTTTGAATTGTCATCTCTGTTGATTGCAAAACTGATATGTGGTTAACACCGTTTGATTATGAGATTTTATTTTTAATTTAAATTGGCTCAGGAATAAAGAATCAAACAAATTGGACAATACCTTGTGTTTAATTAATGTATCACTGTAGACTATGTTTAATATTTTTATCTTATGATTTAAAAATATTTTTTTCAATGTTAAGAAAGAAATTTAGGCCAGAATTATGGCAAATTGTGATTGAAAATATAGATTTTTTTGTGTTATGTCAAATATTAGCAATGAGGAAACTTTGACTGAGCTGTTGTAAATGTCTTTAACATTGTTGGCTTTCCGTGTCCAAAATGAAGGTTCTAAAATGGAATTTCATGTATCTGAAATGTCTAAAAGGAAATACTCCTTCAAGAGTGTTTGCATCATCAAATTTATTTATCAAATTAACTAGCATACCAGATTTCCACAGAGTTAGACATTTAGACAAAGGTGTGCGAGACACCTTTTTGTTTTATCCTCCATCATTGATCAGTTCGATAGCCCGTGCTTCCATACACGTGAAGTGAGGCATTCTTATTGCGCAGATATGTCATTTGGCTGTTTCATATTCACTTTGTAGTGTAAATACACTTAAATGACAGCAGTACAATTGAAAGCATTTCCTGATGATGCAACAGTAACAGAGGCTCAACTTCTGGGCTCGAGATCCTCTAAGATGAGGTCCTCTAAGATGAGGTCCTCTAAGATGAGGTCCTTTAAGATGAGGTCCTCTAAGATGAGGTCCTCTAAGATGAGATCCTCTAAGATGAGATCCTCTAAGGTGCTTGAAAATAACAACCGACGAATCCTGTGTGCAAGCTTATGTCATGTTCTTCATGGAAAGCTAATAAAGCCTAATTCAAACAGGATGATAATGTAGGCTAGCAGCTAATAAGAGGAGACACATGAGAGACTTGTAAGTGAAAGATGTTTGGCACTATGGACCAAGAGCAATTACATTTCCGGAGAACAAGTACATCGTTATTATAAAATTAAAAAAATAAAATAAAATAATAAAACGGTAACAGAGCCCAGTTTAATGATGGGAAAATTATTTTTCCTAATGGTTTTCATATTTTGGTCATATTTGTTTTGCGGTTTCTGTGGGAAGCAATAATCATGGTATTGTTGTACAATTCTTCCCGTAATATATTTGGTGTTTAACTCTTTATCCTTTTAACAATAATACCATCACATACGCACATGGAAACACACCACATCTTCATTACTTATTATGAAGCTATTCCCTCCACTTCATCGGACTGAACTTTTGTCATGTGACGGATAATTGGAAAGCGCAAATACTGCAGATCGACTATTAGCCAAATATGGTGTCATCTAAAAAAAAAAAAAAGTGCTAGTCACATGTTGTATGGGAATTTTCTCCAATGTGGAAAGTGTCTACGAGCTGTTTAGTTTCCATATGCAAATACTTTGGGTGTGTAAACATAGGACACCAAATTAAAGTCAAATTATTATCATATGCCTACCCTGACAGAAGCATCTGGACACTAAAATCCTTATAGTCAGTCTCAGATTAATCCCTACATAGATATAAATAATGAATAAAGAGGGAACTGAATACATTTAAAATACAAATATAACACAGGGCGAGCAGCAGCACTGACTCTAAATTGCTTAGTGAGATATATATTTCATGAATTGAATGAATGAATTTAAATGAATTTGTCTGCCTGAGAAGCTTGTGTAGATGGCCTGCATTTATATATCTGACTAGATTTAATCTTGTTTAGTTTTAAACCTGTTTTCACAAATTAACTGCTGTGATTGTTTAACTGCTGTGGGTGTTGAACTCTCCACTGATCCACGGGCTAATTCAGGCTTTCCATTATTCTGTGGATCATACTTTTGACTGGCGCTGATATTTCAACATGTATCTCTTGCGTTTTTTTGTTATTTGTGGAATTTGCAAACCATATACAGAGTGTGTTTCGCTTTCAGCTGATGAGACGTGACATAAATTGGTTTTGATACATTTCTGAAGGAAGATCCCCTGAATGGCCTTGTGTAAATTCTATGAGGACCTGTTCATGAATGTGTCTTTCCCTCATAAGAAAATACCATACCCCTAGAGGGGACCTTTATTGTTAACACATGCCATTTGGTTTATTTACAGTATCTGCACACTCTACTATTACATAAAAGTGAAAGGATAGAAAACGAAAGCCTATGGACCATGTCCTTCACTTCATCCACTGCCGTCTTGTCCAGGCAAGATGTGCAATTTCTCTTTTTGTCACCTCAACTGGCTGAGCATGTTACCAATGAAAGATACGCCATTCCTTGAAATGAAACAAATGCAAACCTTGAACGGATTGTTCAAAGGTCCATGTCGACATCCTGTCTCTGTCAGGAGCCTTTTAAGTTACTCATTACTCCCTCTAGGGCTGGAGGTGTGCAAGTGCAAGGATCGCATTAACGTCACAGACGTGAAGCATGAATCAGTGTGTGCCAACTCTATATGTACTGTCTCAGGAAAAGTGCTTCAAGAACCAATATTGATTGATTTTCAAAGATTATGCGTTCTTTGGACTAATATTTTATATATTTTAGCAGCTTTAGATTTTTACAAATATTTTGATATAAGATCTTACAGGAGAAAAATTTTAAGATAAACTTGATCCTACTTGTGATTGATGAAAGGTGAAGCCTAACAATGTCATTCACATTCTGTCCTTCTGCTTCTCTGTAGACATCTGATTTCCCATCAAGGTTCAGCAACATTTCACAGTACTGACATGATGCATTCCCCAAACCAGACAAAACCACTCATGATGTACCCATAACAGTGAGGTATCTATCCATCTTCAAACTGCTTATTTTGGATAGTTCCAGTCAGAATAGGTTCAGGGGTGGGGTCAAGGGAATAAATGACATTCTGTGGGGTGGGAGGGGGGGCAGAATTTCTACCTACGCGCCTAGACTGAGATCAGGGGAGTTTCTAGCAATTGAGAAGATCAGAAGCTTAAGTCAAGTTTATCTGGACCTTGGCTTTTCTTTTTTTTTTTTTTGTAGGAAGATTGGCATCATGAAGTGCTCAGGCCTAAAATACTCGGGGACAAGGGTGCCATGAAGTGCTCAGGGCTAGAATACTCGGGGCCAGGGGTGCCATGAGGTGCTCAGGGCTAAAATACTCGGGGCCAAGGGCGCCATGAAGTGTTCAGGGCTAAAATACTCGGGGCCAAGGGCGCCATGAAGTGTTCAGGGCTAAAATACTCGGGGCCAAGGGCGCCATGAAGTGCTCAGGGCTAAAATACTCGGGGCCAAGGGCGCCATGAAGTGCTCAGGGCTAAAATACTTGGGGACAAGGGC